GTACTTCCAGGGACTTCCAAACCTTTAACCCTTGAGGATTTCATCTCTAGGGGTCATTCCTTCCCCAGTGTTTGTTAGAGTCTACATTTGAATAAGATATATTGTATAAGCAATATACAGATATATTTTAAATTGATCTCTCTCTCTATTATAATTGGCACTGTGGATCATGGAATTTAAAAAAAAAATCATCTGAATATATTGCAACTACTTCTAAATCATTAGTGTAGGGATTCTTTCTCTCTCCTATGTTTTTAGTACACATGCTTCCAATAGATCACATTACAAGACAAAGTCTAGATTACTGTTGCTTTGCAAATGATAAACATGTTTACTTATCATTTAAACTTTGTACAAACAGCTGAGTGTCCAATGATAAGTAAATGTCTGGAAGGTCTTCTAGCATGGGATAAGGGCCAACCTGCAAAAATGAACATAGATTAAACAGAATTGTTTATAGAGCCAATCACAATAAAAAAAATATATAACTTGAATTAAACACCTGATACCACCAAACAATGTTCCAACATACACACATGTCTTTGTGCCATCACATCTGAATTGATGCAATGCATTATATTTGAAACTTCCGAATGCCACTGCATATGATACGTTAAGATAGATATAGTATATGTGATACTTTGATACTTTAAGAAGGATACAGTCTGCAGATGGTCCAGAATGCAGCAGCCAAGTTACTAACTGATCAAGCACGATTTTATCACACAACACACATCCTCTGCTCTCTACAATGGTTCCCAATAAATACACTACAAAGCTGCCTTGCTGATTTTTAACTCTCTATACAACCAGAGCAACAGCTACTTGAAAGAACTCTAGAGTTTATACTTTCCAAATATCTACCTACTTACTGATGAAAACATTATTGCAGGTCTAAACAGTCTATATAACAACATGTCTACAACTCTTTACATTAGATAATCAAATAAAGTCTTTCAGTAAACTTCAGAACCATATTTTGTTCTCAAAGTTTTTGGTTTTATCCTCAGTGAAATAAAACTACAAACTGTTTTGAAGTTTTTTTTATAAGTGCTATATAAATTATTGCTTTGACTAGTCTTTATATAAGCATGATTGTGGTCTAGAGCAAGTGGTGTAAAGTAACCAGAGAGTAATGAAGATTTAGTGGAGGAGACCCATGGGGTACCTCACTATAGTACTTCACTGTCATTGCCATTTTGGTGTAAACTCCATGTAACCTAAAGGGTTACTCCAAGCATCATACCCACTACTGCCAGTTGCAGTGGTTATGATGTCAGGACTACCCTGGTTCCATTCCCTGGCAATAGGACAAAACATTTAACAATGGATTGCCCTCTTAACTGGGTCTCACTAGACTCCTGGTCTTCTCTCAAGTAGGGTTTATGACATCAATCTTCTACAGAGCTACAAAAGTCGGCTGCTGATCCTGTCATCCATTCATTGACTGAGAGTGTCTTCTGACCACTCTCAAGAAATGAGTGGCACACTGTGCAAAGAAAGTTGCATAGGACTTACATTAGCCAGCCTGGAACTCTTCATCCAAGCCCAATAATGCTGCCAGAGGTGGAGTTACACCTCTAGTAGCAGAGGACTTAAACTCCATATGTGTAGCGTTCCATAGAGAAATGCTGCACATACAGACTGTAGGTACCATGACTGCTTTAAGTCTCTGAATTTTTCATGGTATTTGGAGTTACCCTTTAAGTTGCTGTCCTCCGTGGAAATTAAGAATATGTAAATATGCTCTATATGTGAAAGTGACATTGGAAAGTTGAAAGAATGTATTATTTATTACCAAAAATACAACATGAAAATGTCAATATTTTAACACTCCAGTAGATATCTTTAGCATGTATTATTATTATTGAAATAGTGTTTGCAAAATTCACTTACATTTAAAACGAGACACAAACCACTCACATTCGATGGTTACAACATGTGTTAATAGCTATTTACTATTAAACTAAATGTACTCAATATTTAAAATGACATTTCTGTCCAGAGCTCCAATAATATCTCCCTCCCCATTGAGGCTGTTAATGACATGACTCTGTAAGCAATTTAAAATTCTCCGTTCTCAATTCTGGGAGAGCTGTGATAAAGTTGTCATTTAACTTGCAACTCACTCTCACCGGACTCCGCTTGTCATCTGTTTTGGCAGGTACATGTTTAACCCCTATAGACTTCACTTCAAATTAAGCCCTTCTCATTTCATATCAATCTGGTCCCTCTACTGTGCATACAACATTAACAGTATCAAGTTGATGAGTTCGGTATTCAGAGTATTTAGTTGCTAAAAGCATTTAAAAGAGTGAAACTAGAGCGAGAAGTGACCCTGAAGGCAGCGATCTATTTCATTGCACTGTTTACTGTCTGTAAGAGATATTATAGAAATATTTAAACATTTGTCTTCACCATGCCTATGATAGTAATAAAGATAAAATGTATGTATTTACAAAAATCCATGACCTTCCATATCTCAGTCTCTTTCTTCTTAGACACAATAAAATCTTCATATAAAATGAGAAATGGGTAGCAGAATCTGCTCTTTGCAGCAAGAAATAAATACTAAAGAACAATTAACATTATTATTACCGTCTTGAAAATCTTTAAATTTAAATGATGTGATACGAAATACAGCTGTCAATTTACTGCAGAATCAAAGATTTTGATGGCATTTAAAAAGCAATTGACGTCTTTATGCTTAACGCAGATGATGACACATACCAAGATCAAATGTTTATAGCTTATCCTACTGGTAGAAGAGGAGATCAGAAATTAGTTTTGTAGCGGACTGCTCCAAGATGACATGAGTGTCACCACCAAGGATTTTCCCTCTAAATGATTAGCTACCAAATGATTATAGCCCATCCCTAATCATTAGTTAAGGGTTAATGTAATGATAAAACAAGTGTGTTTTATTGGAGTGCATGTCATATTTTTAAAGTGGGGTCCCTAACAGGGAGTCACCAGGAAAACAATTAAAGGACCACTCTAGGCACCCAGACCACTTCGGCTTAATGAAGTGGTCTGGGTGCCAGGTCCCTCTAGGATTAACCCTTTTTTTAATAAGCATAGCAGTTTCAGAGAAACTGATATGTTTATAAATGGGTTAATCAAGCCTCTAAAGCCTCTAGTGGCTGTCTCGCTAGAGGCGTTTGCGTGCTTCTCACTGGGAAAATCACAGTGAGAAGACGCCAGCGTCCATAGGAAAGCATTATGAATGCTTTCCTATGAGACAGGCTGAATGCGCGCGCAGCTCCTGCTGCGCATGCGCATTCAGCCGAAGAGGAGGATCGGAGGCTGAGAGGAGGAGGAGAGCTCCCCACCCAGCGCTGGAATAAAGGTAAGTTTAACCCCTTTCCTCGCCATTCAGCCCGGCGGGAGGGGGTCCCTGAGGGTGGGGGCACCCTCAGGGCACTATAGTGCCAGGAAAACTAGTATGTTTTCCTGGCACTATAGTGGTCCTTTGAGGGTGTCTGTAGCTGATTAGTTAACTTCATTAACAGCCAAACAACATAGTGCTACATAATAATTCAACTCTGGTTCCCTTGCCAGCATCTCTAAGATAGTGCAAACCCCTGATAGCTCTACCAGAGACAAATGTTCAGTCCAAAAGCCCTCACATCAGAGGTGTCTCTCCTGAATAGTCTGGATGATGAGTTTTGACCAGGCCGGAAGCATCCTTCAATCAGCTGAAGAGTTCCGTAGCGCTGGGTGGAAAGTCCCGGTCACCTTTGATGACTGTGCTTTTTGTCAGTATATAGAGCTCCCTCAATTCCTGGCTATTGTTCGATGCCTCAGCACCTCCTCAATCACCCCTCCACATAGTGCTCTGTTTGTTGCTCTTGGTACCGAGACTGAATCTCAATGAAGTTTGAACGAATTACAGCAAATCTGCAATCTGATTTGGAGTTCCAAGAGGTTTGTGGGTATCTCTTGGTCAAGTGCACAGAGCCTCTATGAGTTCCCCACCAGTCTCAGATATCCTCTTTGCTGCTGGATAGGAAAATTGAGCGTGGGGTTATGGTCTGGAGTTGTAATAAGTACATGATAATAGACCTTTTGGGATAAGGGGGTCTAAGTCCTGGATGACTGGGAGGTCTCTCACTAGTTTTACTGCACGGCAATTATAAAGAAATTCTTTACAATTAACATATGATCCTGGATCCAACGAGACAGTCAGCCTGGAATCACAATGTTGGTCAGGACCCATGTGTAGAAAATAAACACAAGCTGATTTGGTAAGGTTACAAATGAGCTAACACGAGTATGACACCTTCTGAGAGAGAACCAATCATAGAGCAATCAATTAAGTCCTTGTTCATTATCATTGTGCTGCATCTTTTACACAATGATTTTTGTTTTATTTATCTATCTAAGTTGCCAATTTCTCATCTGAAAGCACAGATTTTCTCCTAATCAGAACATCAGTGTATTTAACACAAGCATTCAATCTTTAAACTAACTTAGATTCCAATTTATTTAACTGTAACTATTCATAATGAAAATAAAAGGAATACAAACCTTTATTCCTAATGCTTTATTGTTCTTCACTGCATTTCCAGGGCTGTCTGCCAATGTGTGAATTTAAGGTGAATTTCAAATTTGAGGTCAGAGTAGGCAATTGGAAAGCTGACAATAGTTTTGGCTCTATTTTGATGTTAAATGTTCAATTCCCTTTGGATTCACCTTGAATTCTGCTTTTAGTAAATAACACTGTTAGTTTCAGGCTCCCCACAAATCTAAATAAAAATTGGAAAAATAGCTTTACTCACTTATTTTTCTAGTACCAAGATCTAGTGCCTACAGATGCTCAATCTGCCTCCTGTTATACCATGCCAACTCTTATTCTCATCCAGTTTAATGCTCCTCATAAAGGAGTAGTGAATAGAGATGTCGCGAACCGCCCGCGAACTTCTCGCGAACGGTTCGCCACGGTTCGCCACGAGCTGTTCGTGGCGAAATCCGGTCAGCTGACACGTCCCGGCCAATCTCCAGCAGATCCTCCCTCCCAGACCCTCCTACTTCCTGGACAGCATCCATGAAACATGCTGTCCAGGAAGTAGGAGGGTCTGGGAGGGAGGGTCTGCTGGAGATTGGCCGGGACGTGTCAGCTGACCGGAGTTCGCCGCGAACAGTTTGTGGCAAACCGCGGCGAACCGTTCGCGAGAAGTTCGCGGACGGTTCGCGACATCTCTAGTAGTGAATATGAAAAGCACATGCATGGCCATGCAGTGTGCTCTTCAATAAAGTGGAGGTTAGCAGTGAGAGCCAAATTTGACTCGGTTCTCACAGTAGAGGCATATTTGACCCTGCATTGTATGCATTGCCCTATCTACTTAATGGAATTTGTTTTACCCGATTTTACCAGATTTTCATGATTAAAACTATAGGATCACTGCACACATGCTACTTCAGTGAGACTAAGTGGTATGGGTGCCTTTGGTGGTCCTTTCAATTGCTAAGGCATTTGGTCCAGTACAGATTTGTAACAATTATACTAAAAAAGAGGAAAGAGTACCAAAATTAATACACCAGCACAAAATGTTGTATGGTTATTTAATCTACAAGTAGTCTATGGAAAATTAAAGATACACTATTGACATCATAACCAATTCAGATTTTGGAAGTAGTTTTGGTGAACCAATTAATTTTTCTAACTTGTCAAACTGACAAAATATGGTTTGAAAGGGAGCATCTCACTCCAACATAAACTCCATCTGTCAGAGTGCCAGACTGACACTTCACAGTTCACATACCCACTCATACTAATGAGTAGGTATATCACTGCTACCCTTGAGGGACCTGATGTGTCTGCGCTCCCGTGGTGCCATCAGTAAGCTCTTGCAAGTCCAGAGACTTTTCCTGCCTCTCTGATAATAAGTGCTGCAGTCAAGGACTGGGGCAGTCTTTTCACTTGCAATAGCTTGCTTTAAGGAAGTAAGTCCCTCCACATTACTATGTTATGTGTGCTGATAGCTGGGAAGTGTAATGATTAACAGGACTTTCACATGAGATTGACATCTATTTTGAAAGTATAAAAGGATAGTCAAACAAATGATGCAGAGTTGACACCCTAGTACCATAATCACTTCATTGAGCCGATGTGGTTATGGAACCTAAAGTGTTTCTTTAATGCAGTCAGTGGGAAATGGTTGGACGCCAATCACATTGCTGTTTAGTGCTAGTTTATTATGTAGGCTTTTATTTTTCACTTTTTTACATGTGCAGTGGGTATTGATGTCTATGGTTACCCATCTAATTAGACAGAGAATGAGGATATGTAAGCATCAGTAGAGGATTTGACAAATATTAAATATATTTATCACAAAATGTTCAACATTATGCCCAATATATAGTAAATGGCATGGGGTAAAGTAGGCTGTGCACACATTTTTTTGAAATACATGAAATAATTTTTTATTTAACAAATACTTTGAAAACAAAAATCTTGATAACATGCTTTATTTATAACTCAAGAAAACCACATTAATTAAATCTTTAGGTCAGAATTATACAATGTGGAGTTGGTAGCAGGTTTTCAATAGCCCACTGTGAGAAAGGACATTATTGCGATTTAGTTATACTTTGGATATAGAAAGCATGATTGAATAGAACCATAAACAATACGTAAATTAAAAGAATGTTGAAATATAAACACTATAAAGCACAGCAGGGAAACACAGCAAGATGTAAAGGCAAATGTTTCATGAAAGTTTCTTGTCTATCATTCACATTTAGAATTAGTGACATTAGGACCTTAAAACTATGTTTAAAAGTGTTGCTAAATCTAGCAGTAATTTAAGTATTTAAGATACCTACCACGCATTCTAACATGTAAAAAAAATAGCTTTATGCATTTATTTCTCTGCAATATAATGGAGACTCTATCTAGTAGGTCAGAATGATAATGGACAGCATTTTAGAAAAAAAAACAACACAAATTTCACTTGATATATTAGTTATATTTTGTCTCAGAGTCTCAGAGAACCATTTCCTGGTTGTATATGAATACAAACAGGAGCAGTTTGACAAATAGGTCTCTCTATGTCATTCAGAGACTACTAGCTTCTCATCTGGAATAATAATGTGAAATTAACAATTCTAAACTATCAGTGTCAATTTTATCCGACCAGTACATCATTGGTTGACTCAGATTGCTGTAGGCAGGTTAACCCCCACACATCAGCCAATCAACACTCTCCAGGTTAGATAAAATTGACATTAATAATCGGGAAAGGTATCAGTGTGGAAGAGGTCATAGAAGACTCACAGAAACCTTGTTCTTATCAAATCAGTTCTCAGTGGTTTGACATACAGGAGATGGTGTTCAATACTCAAGTGACAATAACCTGACTTGCTATGGAGGCTTGGCGCTACTTGTTAAGTACATAGCAAAGGAGTTGTGGTGGGGAAAAAATTGTGTCTGAAAACCCTTGTGACAAACTCCCCTTCCCACATGAGTATGCCATGAGCTCCTGGAGGAGCCTGCTTGCCAAGCCTTCAAAACAAGTCAGTAACCAACCTCATGCTGATGAGTTGCATTAACAATGAAACGGCTGTCCATGAGTGGTTCACTGTCTTTTGCTCCTCTTCCTGAGTTGTGTTTCAAAACAATTGTATACTGCAGACACATACCTCAAGGAATCCATGCATAAAGTGAATTTTATGAGGCAAAAATGTAGTTCTTTGTTGAGCTCATTTGCATATGCCTACCCAGAATCCCTTGCAGTAGTGAGAACACTGTTAAAGGGGGATTTGTGTGGGAAAAGCAAGTCTTCTGGCTTGACTGATATGTGTATTTGTGTTTAGCAATATATTAACTATCAACTTACATCAGGTGGAAAGGGTTTTCATCCACACGCTTTTCCCCACCACAACCATGTTGATGTATATATAAATATATATATATATTATTATTATTTTTTTTATTTTTTTTCTTGAAGTGAGCACTCTGAAGTCTTTGTAGAGTAAACGAATAGTGCTTTTATTGTAGCAATCAAAAAGTGTCAACGTACATTTCCGTCATAACAGACTTTTCTCAAGACCATGTATATATCTATAAATATAAAATGAATATATTATTTCTTTATTTTATGTTGGTCATATCAAATCATGACAGAAGACAATAATTTCAAAATACCAAAATTTTGACAGACACAAGCACATGTTTACAGAGAAGTGACAAGTTAATTAGACCTTTGCATTCCATGGCCTTTGTTTTGTCACAGTCTCAATGTTATGATACTAGTAAGAAAATAAAACCCTGGAAAAAAGCTAAGAAAAAAGGCGGATGAACTAATATTTTTCATCATTGTCAAAATAATTTTAAAGAGCACTTATAACTTATTAATTGATGGCTATACATTGGTCAAAATTTATTTTATTATGCAGTTAAACAATTAAATAATTGTATTAACTGGAAAAACATCTATCCACTGTGATCATTTTAAAATGAAATTTTTATTTTTTCATTTATCTAACCCTGCACTGTAAATAAGAAAACCTTATCAAGAATGAAAAAAAAACATGTTTTTTTTCCTATATGGTAAAAACTGGGAGCCACTAAGTAAATCACAGATTTAAGTTAGGAAATCAATGTTTTGTATTTATTTTTTGTAAGCTGCTCATCCATAAGAATATGCACTTAATTAAAACAATTATAAATCTATCTATTTAGAAAAAGTTGAATATTAGATGTATGTGCCAGAAATAAAATGTCCCAGGTAAGATTATTTAGGCTAATCTAAAGAAACAACTAGAGCAGTGATGGCTTAACTTGACACCATAAATTGTTTCTGAACTACATTTCCCATGATGCTCATGAGCTTCATGGGAAATATAGTCCAGAAACAATTTATGGTGTCAAAGTTAGCAACCACTGCACTAGAGACAGAGCTTCAAACTGTCAGGATTACAGTATGATCAAGCACATAGAATTGTGTAACACACAGGACTGATAGGTAACATATACCGGACCTTAGAATGGCCGGACCAACGTACCAAAGAATAGTCAGGAATAGCCGAGGTCAAGGGACACAGAAAGAGACACAACGATAAGGAAAAGCAAGGGGCCAGGGATGCCAGAAAACAAGGAAGTCAAAATCAATGCCAAAGTCAAATAACCAGAATAACCAGAATTAATAACACGTTCTTGGACAACCACAAGGGAAACCACAACAGGGCACTGAGCAAGAGGAGAACTGGGCCTAAATACCCCGCTTGTGGATCTGATTGGTTGTACCCGGCCTTTGACCCCAAAGGCAGTTACCAGGTTCCTATTTGCATGATTGCTGCTCAGCAAAAACCCTCCTGTGTATTGCTGCTCGGCACAACTTTTCCTGTCAGGACAGTAATGTTGCTCGGCACAACTTTTCCTGTCAGAACAGTAAATACCATTAATAACATTTTTATATGCGTATGAATATGTGACACAAACTCTGGAAAAACCTTCCGTAAATCAGCCAGGTGTAAATTAACAGATCACTGAATTGAAAATCAAATTGCTACATTTTTATAAAAAATTCTTATTCAAAACTGGGCTGTTCTAATCTAAATTTTGCAATTTGGCTTTCAGTTTTCTACAACTGGTGTTTACTGAATGAATCCTCAAATATTTCACATGTCTATAGCACTTGAGAAAGATTATCTAGCTCTCCCTGAGATGTAAACAAATTTGTAAAAACTGTTAACGGTTATCCATGTGTATATTTTAAATACGTTAAAGACATTCTTGAGAGACATCTCAATGTATTCTCGATAGCTACATGCTTTCTAAATAAATAAATACAATTATAAATAAATTGGTTGGGCATTTTTAGGCCCAGTGGTCTGTGAATCAAAACAACACTGCAGATACTAAACAAGAATTTGACAATATTTGTCATAATTATAGTGAACTATACATTTCTACATGACTCATATGATCCGTTTAAATGTCACTATAGCTAATGAATTGCTGTAGAATGTAAGGTTAACTAGTCCTTATTATTCAAGTAAATTTCTTGGTATTTCATGAATATTGTGAATGAGAATAAATGTCCCCAGGACTTTTTAGAAAAACAGGAGAAATCTCAATTTATTTCATCTTTGTCAAA